AACAGGGAGAATGTGAGGTGCTAAAAAATATTCTGATCACTTATGAAAGATGTTCTGGGCAGAAGGCCAATTACAACAAATCCAGTGTGAAATTTAGTCCAAATGTCCGAGCCAAGGTCCAAAATGAGTTGTGTGCTGCATTATAAGTTAACACTGAGGAGGTGCCCCACAAGTATCTGGGGCTGCCAGCTCTATTTGGTAGAAATAAAAAGGAGATTTTGATTTATTTAACAGAAGGAGTAGTAAAGAGGCTACATAGTTGGAATAACTGGTGGCTATCTAAAGCGGGTAGAGAAGTGTTTCTCAAAACGGTTATTCATACAATGCCCTCGTATGCTATGAATGCTTTTTTGTTTCCGGATGGGCTTCGCACTGAAATAGAATGACTTATGAATGGGTATTGGTGGCGGGGAAATGATTTTAAGGGGAAAGGGATTAGATGGATGAGGTAGGTGGAGTTCTATGTGTCAGAATTTGAGTGTTAGGAGTTTAGAATGAAGAAAAAGTAACTAGTTTAGATAGATTGTGAAATCTGGGATGAGAGAAAGAGAGTTTTGAGAGAGAAGAGAATAGTAGAGAGGAATTTATTTATCCCTTATTCTAAATCTATTACAAGAGTTGTCTATTTAAGCTTGCAAGAATAATGATAAAGACAAGAGAGATTGTCTCAAATCTCCAACAGCTATATTTTGAATTTGCCAACTGCCACAATCATTAGCTCATAGTTCTAGTCATACAAGTATGGTTGACCACTTTTCCTTCTTCATGTCAACACTCCCCCTCAAGCTTGAGCATAAGGACCGGTCAAGCTTGGAACCATGAAGAACCCCCTTATTAAAAAGAAAAACTTAGCAAGGAAAACCAGAAACCCAAGCTAAGAAAAAAAGTGAAGTCTTCACGGCAAGAGGATCAGTCAGCTGTGAGGTCTATGAGTCCCAGTTTTGAATGGATGAACTCACAGACTTTGGTGCTTGCTGCCTTTGTGAAGATGTCAGCTAGTTGGTCTTCACTTCTAGTGTAGCAAGGTAGGATGATTTGTTGCTCCACGGCTTGTCTCACTTTGTGGCAGTCTACTTCAATATGTTTTGTCCTTTCATGGAACATCGAGTTGCTGTGAGGTCTATGAGTCCCTGTTTTGAATGGATGAACTCACAGACTTTGGTGCTTGCTGCCTTTGTGAAGATGTCGGCTAGTTGGTCTTCACTTCTAGTGTAACAAGGTAGGATGATTTGTTGCTCCACGGCTTGTCTCACTTTGTGGCAGTCTACTTCAATATGTTTTGTCCTTTCATGGAATACCGAGTTGCTGGCTATGTGAATGGCAACCTGATTATCACAATGCATAGTGATCGAAGATGTTGTCTCTATGCCCAAGTCTTTAAGCAGCCCCTTAATCCACACAAGTTCACTTGTGAGCTTCCTCATTGCCATATACTCAACATGACACAACCTTTTAGTTCTTACTCTTCCAAGTAACCAAGTTGCCTCCAATGAATGTGCAGTAATGTGCAGTAACCAGTGGTTGATCTCCTATCAGCTCTATCACCTGCCCAATCAGCATCACAATATCCCACAATTTCTGTGCTTCTATTACAACTCATCCATACTCCTTGATCAGGAGCCTCTTTCAAGTATCTCATGATCCTTTCAACCATGTTCCAATGGTGAACCTTAGGAGCTTGCATATATTGACTCACGTGGTACACAACAAAACAAATGTCAGGTCGGGTAATGGTTAAGTAGATTAACTTACCAACCATCCTTCTATATTGTTTGACATCTTCAAATGGCTTGTCCTTAAACTCCCCCACTCTCAAGACTTTGTATCCTTCGTCAAGTGGAATTTTCGTTGATCTTCCTCCAAGGTTTCCTGCCTCACTCAACAAATCAAGAGTGTACTTCCTTTGGGATAAGAAGAGCCCCTATTTAGAGCGGCATACTTCAATTCCTAGGAAGTACTTTAGTTCACCTAAATCTTTAATATCAAATACAGACTTGAGAAAGGCTTTAGTGGATTGGATACCTTCCTTGTCACTCTCTGTGATGATGATATCATCAACATATACAAGGATGACAACAATACCTTGAGGACTGGAGAGAGTGAAGAGGGAGTGGTCAACCTCAGCCTCTACCATTCAGAGTGGTGCTCAGTTTGTGATACCAAGCCCTTGGTGATTGCTTCAGCCCATAGATAACCTTCTTTAACCTCAGCACATTTGTAACACCCCGGCCCCGCAAGACCCGAGGTAGTTACTCCAGACCTCTAGTACTGTCCTCACAAACCACCACAAGCCTTTACCGCGCACTTTGTCCTCACTCATGCACGCCCTGAGAAACTTCTCAGGGGGTCACCCATCCCAAGACTACTCTCGTGCAAGCACGCTTAACTTTGGAGTTCTTGGGTGATGAGCTTCCTTAAAAGGAGATGCACCTCTGTTGGTATGAGTAGTATTATTAATCCATTAAATTAAATCTCAAGTGTTACAATCACCCCCACTTACAAACGCAACGTCCTCATTGCGCCATAAACTAATCTCAAATTTCAATCAAATCCCAGAATCCTCCCTCGCTAAGTGTCCACTCGATATCCAACGGGTCGGCACACTGTCGTAGGATTGCTCTGATACCACCTGTAAGTCTGTAACACCTTGGCCCCGCAGGACCTGAGGTAGTTACTCCAGACCTCTAGTACTGTCCTGACAAACCACCACAAGCCTTTACCGCGCACTTTGTCCTCACTCATGCGCGCCCTGAGAAACTTCCTAGGGGGGGTCACCCATCCCAAGACTACTCTTGTGCATGCACGCTTAACCTTGGAGTTCTTTGGTGATGAGCTTCCTTAAAAGGAGATGCACCTCTATTGGTATGAGTAGTACTATTAATCCGTTTAAATTAAATCTCAAGTGTTACAATATTTCCTAGTTTGACTAGATGTTCCAGACCCGGAGGAGGATGCATGTAAACCTCATCTTCTAGCTCTCTTTAAAGAAACACGTTCTTCACATCCATTTGCCATAACTCCCACTCTAGGTTGGTTGCAAGTGAGAGGATAATCCTTATGGTATGGAGCTTAGCTACTTGTGCAATGGTGTCCATATAATCCTCTCCATAAGTCTGAGTGAAGCCTCTTGCAACTAGCCTTGATTTGTGTTTTTCCACCTTTCCATTGCTCAAGTATTTGATGGTAAAGACCCGCTTGCTTGTCACTTCCTTCTTGCCTTTTGGAAGCTCAGATTCATACCAAGTGTCATTCACAATCATGGCAGTAATCTCATCACTAACAGAGTCTCTCGACTCCATATGCTCCATTGCTTCTTCATATGACCTTGGAACTTGTCCTTGATCTAGTTGTCCATTGAAAACTTGATGTGCTTGAGGGTAATGAGCTAGTGAGGAGACAACTTGTATGGGATGAGCTACAGCTTCCGTTGAAGTAAATCCTTGTGTCTGCCCACTTAGAAGGTCTCCTGATCCTTGTGCTTCTCCTGAGTGGTTGCACTTGGATTTCTTGTTGTTGCTCCTCTTCTTCAGACCCTTCATCATCATCTTGAGTAGATGGTGCTTGTTGTTCTTGCCTTTCATCATGATCATGAACAGCTGGACCATTATTAGCTTCATGTTGATTTCCCCCCTCATGATCAAGATGAATGGCTTCTACAACCTCTTCCACCCCCTCAGTCCTTTCTTTGTCAGCTTCAGGAGGTGATGATGTTCTGGTTTCCTGACCCTCCTGTGATAGACCGATGCCAAGACTTTCTAAGATACGTCTCAAGTTATTTGCCTTATCCAAGGATGCTTGAGAGAGGTCTTTTAGGCTGTCCCAACTCTTCTCCTCATAATACCCTCTGGATTCCACACATTTGACATCTCTAGAGACTAAAACTCTTCTGGTTTTTGGGTCATAGCACTTATAACCCTTCTGAGTAGTTGAGTAACCGAGAAACACATCATTGATACTTCTTGCTTCAAGTTTGTTTCTCTGTTCTCCTGGCTGTAACACATAACACAAACACCCAAACACCCTTAAGTGGTTAATAGAAGGCTTAATTTTATTCAATACCTCATATGGTGATATGTCACCAAGTACTCTTGTTGGAATCCTGTTTATGAGGTAGCATGCTGTCATGACAACATCACTCTAGAATGTTTTGAGTACACTGGTATGGAACATCATAGACCTTGCCACTTCCATGAGATGCCTATTCTTCCTCATAGCTACACCATTTTGTTGTGGTGTATATGGGCAGCTCGTTTGATGGACGATTCAATGCTTGTTTAGATGACTTTTAAAGGCATGACTTATGTATTCCTCCCCATTATCTGACCTAAACACTTTGATCTTAACGTTGAACTGATTAGTGATGTAAGTTTGAAAGTTGATAAACGCTTCTAGCACCCTATCTTTGGATTGGATCATTGTAAGCCATGTATACTTAGATTTTTTATACTTCCTCCGTTTCTTAAAAGTTGCAACATTAGGATTTTTACACTATTCACACATCTTATTTTGACCATGATTTTTTATTAATATATAAGATCAAATTATTATGCATAAAATATTATTAAATTTATATTGATGTGAATTTTCAAAATATTAACTTTTTATAATTTTTACTAATACGTAATTAGATATAATTACGGTCAAAGTTGCGTGTTGGCAAACGTGAAAGTCAACTATATGAAAGTCACAAAATATTTATGGTTCTCTCTAGATTCACATGGTGTTGTCCAAACATCATCAGAGTGTATAAGATCAAAGCAGTGTTCATAGATGGTCATTGATTTAGGAAAAACAGTCTTGCAATGTTTGCCAAGGATACATGCCTCACAACCATCATTTTTAAAGGAAATTTCACGTACAACAAGCTTAATGCACGAGAATGAGGATGGCCTAATCTAGCATGCCATAACACATCATTGTCTAAAGCAGGAATAGAACTAAAAGCACAAGAGGAATCAGAGACATGTTTGGTGTCTTCAAGTAAGTATAAGTCTCCTTGTGTCACACCTTTGCCAATCAGTCTACTAATCTCAATATCCTGAAATGAACATCATTAGGACTGAAAATAACTTTGCAATTTAGATCAGTAGCAGCCCTTTTAACAGATAGCAAGTTGGATGCAAAGGTTCGCATATAAAATGCTTCAGACACCTTATCAAACAACTTAAGAGTTCCTAATCCTTTTATTGGTATTTTGTCACCATTTGCGATCATAACATTACCTAAGGTAGGTTCTACATTACTTATCATACTAGAGTCACTAATCATATGGTGTGAAGCTCCTGAATCAATAATTAAAGGCCGAGCAATGGTAGATGCACTTAATGAAATACCAAGAGTGTTACTAGAGTTCTCCTTGAGAGCTTTGATGAAAGCATCCAGATCTGACCTCTTGATGGTCTCATCTTTAGTTGTTCTCGAGGTGGAGTGGAAGCTTGATGCCACAGACCTACCTTCTCCAGTAGTATTGGAGAACATGGATGAGCATACCGATGGAGTAGTTGGTTCGCCCATGTTTCCTGAGAAATGAGCTCTTGCGCCCGTGAACTGTGACCTTGGCTCCCTGAACTTGTGAGGCTTGAGGTGAGGATGCAGTATCCAACATTTGTCCTTCATGTGCCCCTTCTTCTTGCAATGGTCACTGATCCACATCATCCTCTCCTTTGGTTTGTAAACCCCTTTATTAGCTACTGCTCCTGCTCCTTCAGCCTTGTTTGCCATCATGAGTTCACCTTTTCCTCCAAAGAGACCTTGAGAGCCTTGTTCCTTCTGGATTTGAGCACACACCTCTTCAAGTGATGGTAGTTTCTCAGCCCTCAAAATGTATTTAATGAGATCATTGTACCTCGAGTTTAAGGTGAAAAGCAAAGCAAATACTTTATCCTGCTCACGCCTCTCATTTAACACTTTGGGATCGACAGTACTTGGTCTCAGCATCTCAAGCTCAGCCCAAAGATTCCTGAACTTGCCAAAATGGTGAGGAAAGTCTGTGTCCTCTTGGTTAAGTGTGTTAATCGACTTCTTGACTTCATACACACGGCTCAAGTTAGATAGGTTTCCATACACCTTCTAAAGTGTATCCCACAACTCTTTAGAGCTCTCACAGTAACAATAAGCTTCCAAAATAGATGGTTCAAGGCTGTTTTGGATGATGGACAACACCATGAGATCCTCTTGACCCCATTTCTCATCATCTGCCAAGACCATTTCAACACCATCTTTCTCTTGGATGGTTTTCTTAGGGACTTCATCAATAGAAACATGGTTCCATAGACCCCTTCCTCCAAGTGCGGTTTTGACCATTCTGGACCACAACAGATAGTTTACTGCCTTTAGGGTCACTGGAATCGTCACCATCTTAGAGTTCTCCATCTTGAAGAGCTATAAAGCAGTGGGTAATACAGTGTATCTAAGAAAAGGTTTGATAAACGAGATGAAACAGAGTGAATCGCGGAAGACAATAAAGGTTTCAAGAGCTTGTAATCTCTGATACCATGTCAGAATTTGAGTGTTAGGAGTTTAGAATGAAGAAATAGTAACTAGTTTAGATAGATTGTGAAATCTAGGATGAGAGAAAGAGAGTTTTGAGAGAGAAGAGAATAGTGGAGAGGAGTTTATTTCTCCCTTATGCTAAATCTATTACAAGAATTGTCTATTTAAACTTACAAGAATAATGATAAAGACAAGAGAGATTGTCTCAAATCTCCAACAGCTATATTTTCAAATTTTGAATTTGTCAACTGCCACAATCATTAGCTCATAGTTTCTGGTCACAAAAGTATGGTTGACCACTTTTCCTTCTTCATGTCAACACTATGTGTTTACCAAAGGCTAAGGGAGGGTTGGGATTCAGAACATTGAAAGAACTCAACATTTCGATGTTCGGCAAGCAAGCATGGAAGTTAATGACAGAACCAAAAACACAGGTTAGTCAAGTTTTCCAAGCCAAGTATTATCCAGATACATCCTTTGGAGAGGCAAGGTTGGGGCCGAACTCGTAGTTTATTTGGTGAAGTATTTTAGCGGCCCAGAAACTTGTTAATGAGGGGACTCATCGCAGGGTAGGCAATGGGCAGAGTATTTCAGTATGCGAGGACGCATGGTTGCCAATATCAGAGTCTGGAAAAGTACAATCACCTAGACCCGCAGGAGTAGCAGACATGAACGTTGCTGCAGTACTCTCTGAGACCGGCAGACAGTGGAATACTCCTAGAGTAAAGAAGATTATTACCTGTTTTGGGAGTGCTCAATAGCGCAGGAAGTCTGGAGTAATTTTGGGATGTCCATTCCAGAAGTGTGGCCGAGACTGCTATTGTGGGTGAAGGACGTTTTCAGTAAGCTATCTGTGGAGGGACGGTGTAAATTCATTATGTTGTAATGGAGTTTATGGAAAAAAAAATAGAAATGCTGCTGTTTGGAAAGGAAGTTGTGGGTCTGCTATGGCTGTGAAACATTCTGCAGAAGCCCTACTTTCAGGATGGAGGGCTGCACAAGTGAAGGGACAGAAGGCAAATTCCCATGTGCTAATCCAGGGGTTGAAAAGTGGAAGAAACCAGCAGCGGATTGAGTAAAAATTAACGTTGATGCTGCAATCGGTGACGGCAATGGCCGGAGAGCATGGGGTGGTTAGCCAGAGACTGTGACAGACGCTTTATTAAAGCTAGGATTAAGTCAGTCCAAGCGGAATGGTCTCCGCTTGAGACAGAGGCTCCGGGAGTCCGGGAAGCTGTTAATTGGTGACCGGTTTACGAGGAGATTCAGGAATGTCGTATGTAGACACAATTTTCGATGACTTGAGAGTTCTGCTTCGAGAAAATGAATTTTTAAGAATTAAATTGGAAAAATTGAAAATAATAATCTCAACTATTATCGGTCCGCTATTATTAATTTCAATTATCGATTATTTCTGAGTGGTCCCAACTATAGGGACCATTTTCCAAAAACAGTCCTTAACTTGCTACAACCTGATATAGCAGGTCAAATTTAAATTTGAACTATGCATAATCTCTAAATAATTTCAACTATAGTTGATCTTCTTTTATTAATCTCAATTATCAACCCTCAATTTTAGAAAAATATAAAAATATTTTTATAAATATTCAAATTAAATATTTTTAAACATGTAAAAATTATTATGAAAATTCTACAAATGTACGGAAGTTAAATAAAATAGTTTTAGTCATTTTTTTTTTATTTTCACTGTTTTTTTCTTCTTTTTTCCAATTTATTATTCCCAATTGTGTTAACAAGTTATGATATGGTATTATTTTCCTTTATTCAATTTTACATTTTCTGTTTTCAAAAAGTAAGATGGGACTAAATTTTTTATGATTGAAAGTTTTATTCTAATTTTTTTCATGAAAAAATATTTTATTTAAATTTTATGCTACTTTAATTCTAAAAATCTAAATTCTCTATTTTATTCATTTTAGTATTTGTAATTTCTTTTTTTATATATTATTATATTCTATATATCATATGAAATAGTTTATCGTTCAATTTTTGTGATTTGGGGCATAGATTTTGGAGGTTTTGGCTATTTTTAATGAAAATGTATTAATATTTTAATTTTAAGTGATACACTTTTTCTACATATTTTACAATTTCCATTATATCGTTTAAAATTACAATATTAATACATTTTCATTAACATAACCAAAACCTCCAAATCATGTGTCCCGAATCACTAGAAGTCAATGATAAACTATATCATATAATTTATGGAATATAATAGCATAAAATAAAGAAAATAGAAAGAAATAAAAAATGCTAAAATTGAAAAATAGAGAATATTGATTTTTACAATTAAGATAGCATAAATATTGATTTTCATGAAAAAATATAGAATATTGATTTAAATTATAATTTTTTTAATCACAATATACTTTTTAAAAACACAAAATGTAAATTTGAATAAAGGAAAATAATACAAAATCATAACTTGTTAACAAAACTAGGAAAAATAAATTGGAAAAACTAAAAAAAAATGAAATTTTAGCGAAAATAAATAAAAAATGACTAAAAATATTTTTATTTAACTTCGATACATTTGTAGAATTTTGATAATTATTTTTACATGTTTAAAATATTTAATTTGGCAATTTATAAAAAAATTATTATATTTTTTTAAAATTGAGAGTTCATAATTAGGATCAATAAAATATTCTAGCTATAAATTTTTAGCTTACGTATAGTTCGCATTTAAATTTGATCTGCTATATCAGGTTGTAGCATGTTAGGGACTATTTTTGGAAAATGGTCCCTATAGTTGGGACCACCCAAGAATAATCGATAGTTGGGATTATTAGTAGCGGATCGGCAACAGTTGGGATTATTATTTTCCATTTTTCCAATTAAATTTTGTAGAAGATCAGAAAACCGGGCCGCTCATAAGTTGGCCCGAGCGGCCATTTTCGAGGATGATCGTGAAGTTATTTTTATTCCCCATGTTATTGTAAGCCTTTTGGCTAACGATGAATCACTACAAAAAATTTCGCCTGTAGTCACGGACTTAGTCACGGACCATAGTGTTAAAAATCCGTGACTAACACATTTAGTCACGGATTTTGTTCGTGACTAGTTCCGTGACTAATTCCGCGTGACTAGAATGTAGTCACTGAACATTGGCCGTGACTAAGTGTAGTCACGGATTAGTCACGGACTTAGTACGTGACTAATTTTTGACTGGAATTAGCCCTCCGGCGCGGTAGTCACGGACAAGATCCGTGACTAAGTTTAATTTAAATTTTTTTATTTTTTATAGTAGTCACGGACATGTATCCGTGACTATGTTTTGAAAAAAAAAATTGAATTTAGAAAAGAGTTCCGGATTAAAAAAATAGTCATGGATTTAGTCTGTGACTATTGTTTTTGGTTTTTTAAAAAAAATCGATTTAAAAAAAATAAAAAATTATTTTAACTTTACTTTAAAGCAATTAGAATAAAAACAACATCCATACAATGTTAAACATAAAAAATGTTATTACAGACTGAATTATAAAAACAAAATCCATACAATGTTAAACAATGTTACATGCCCGGACGTCGGACTCCATTATGATAAAAATTATAATCATCATAATCATATGCATCATCATTATCATCATAATCACGATGATGATCCTCTTCAGCATCCACGGTGTCCTCAATTAATTGGATTAATATAAGTTGCTTTTTACTCTCAAAAAAACATATGGAAAGTATAATTATGATACTAAATAATGACACCTCTGCATTATCATTATTATTATTATTATTTAGTATTTGTTTATGTTAGCCGACATGTCGATTAGACGGAAATACATAAGACCAATTTCATATTTGGTCGAAAATGATGTTTGTAGTTCAATGTTTTTACACCGGATCAAATTTTTTGTAAGTTAGTATTTAATTAATTATTAGTTTCAATCATAAGATTATTATTTTTATCATTTTTTACCTCAGGGGGTCGGGGGCCTGAGGTAAACAGGGTTGAAAATGTCTTCATGAAGTTTGAACCCAAGACCTTTACATTCAAGTGTCATTGACCTTGAAAGTGTACATTATATTGAATTTTGAAGAACAAACTTTTTTGATGACTTGAGAGTTCTATTGAAAGTGTCTCCATGAAGTTTTGAACCCATCTTTACATTCAGGTGCCAGTGACTTTGAAAGTGTAAGTCTACATTCTATTGAATTTTGAAGAACAAACTTTTTTAATGTATTTAGTCCTTTGATATTCAAAAAAATGTACTTAGTCCTTTGTTTACATTACATTATTAGCAATTTGGGAAAAAATTGTCCAAAATCGAGACCGGGACCAAACAAGCCGGTCTCGATTTGGAACCGGCACCGGATCGGGTTCACGCCGACGTAGTATATATGAATCAGTTGTTATACGCTGGGAGCGGTCCATGAGGAGTATCATACTCCCACACTTAAAATGACGTCATTTAGATTTAAGCTTTAATCACAAAAGCGAGTGAATAATGCACATGTTTTTAGCTTTGTATTTCTCGTGATGTAAATCTTGTACACCAAAATGTAACTCGTATTGCCATAGAATGTAATCTCAGTTAACGGTAAATGTAACTCATGTACAAGAATGTAACTCGTGTTACTCTCTCAAGTGGTTATTCTCTCACCTTTCATATATGAAATGTAAATCACGTGTATGCGAAATGTAAATTCAAACAAGTTGAAATTAAAATTGCATGTATATATGCAAAATGTAACTTATTGAGACAAGTCCAAATATAAATCGCATTAATGAAATGTAACTTGAGACAGGTTGAATATATATGATGTGAATTGAAATGTAATTTGAGCCATGTCGAAAAGTAAATATAAGATATGCATATAGAATGTAACTCAATGTATTATCAAATATAACTCTAGGCTTCATGTTAGTCGCGCTTATAAAATGTAAGTCGCGCTTATAAAAAATATATCTCCCCACATGAAAATGTAGATCACGCATAACAAAAATGTAAGCTCATGTATTATCAAATACAACTCCAGACATTATGTATAAAAGTAATTGGCACGTATGGAAATGTAAGTCGCACACATGTACTAGAATAAGATAAACAAATCAAATGTTTTAAAAAACACTAAACAACATATTCCCCTCTTCCTATAAAACTTGGCCAAATTTAACTTGCACGTAGAATAATAATGTAAAAAATGTGTGGTTAATCTTTGTGCACAACAAAGAGAGAAAACTTCAGCCACATATTTTTTACTTTAAGTGGAAATGGTAAACTGTTTTTAGAAGGCCAAACAAAAGGAAAATTGGTCACGTTTTATGGGACTGAGGTACTACAAAAGATTTAAAAATCATTATAGAAACAATGGTATATGAATGTGAAATGCAATAATACTTACTACCTCCGTCTAGTGTTGCACTAGGTTCGAGCAGACCGGACCGGATCGGCCCGGGATAAGTTTTGTTTGAGATCGGTCCGGGAGTGGTTTTCTGGTACCGGTGCCCCTGCCTAGTAACCGAATTGGCTTCAAGGCGGACGAGCTCGGGCAAGAGAATTTGGGACCGGACTGGTTCACTCTTGGCCCGATTTCGATCCCAAGTCCCAACAGTTAATTTAAAAAATAAAAATAAATGGAAGGTGGACCGACCCGTGACTCGCTCGGGTACCCGGACGGGAACCGGTACCATACCAAATCGGGTCGGTACCGGTCTTCAATATTTTCGAATCAAGACCAGCCTGTCCGGGGCCCAAAACCAGATCGAACCGGGTCAATGAGTACATGACTACCTCCGTCTCATATTGGTTGTCCTATTTCAATTTGACATGATTATTAATAAAATAATTGAAAATGTAAAAATTATGATTGATATTTGAGTAGAATAAAGTGAAATGATAAGAACTACCTATTTCTTGTCAAAAAGGGAAACATGACATTCATTTTGTGACAACCCCTAAAGGAAAATAAGACAACCAAAATGTTGGTGATTTTAGTGTCACCGGCCATTTTGTGTAATTGAAAAATGACATGAGTGCCAATGAAGATTAGAACCGGTTTCTAATACAAGCTAGTAGGTGTGGAGTGCAAACTTGTATATAAGAATGAGTTTTATTCCAAAGTGTCTACGATAGTGGAACTCGAGGTAGAACACGCAGTAGATCAACTATGTGGTTCTAGATCGGGGTCTAGAGCGGTTGGGCAGTTTCGTGCAGTTTTCCAAAAACTGTCACGGTTATTCTCAAACATGTTGTAACTGCCTGGGACGTGTAATATGGATATATATCACCATATTTCATACAGAGAGGTAAGAGGGAAGATATACAACATATCTTTATCGCTTTTCGCATTCAAATTAAGATAACAATCCATATAATCACTAGTTTGGCTCTAGTTCTTGTGCCTAAGTTCTTGGCTCTAGTAATCCATATATGGCTTCTTTACACCATTTCTTTCACATATAAAATATTTCTTTTTAATTATGAGTCTGGTACTAATAATAAAGGCCCTAGCTGCACCCATAGTATGATGCCGTGTCACACAACAAAAATGATGTGAAGCACAAACATTGACAAGAAATTCATAGTTGAAAACAAGGCATTAAAGTAACCTAATAACCTAATAGACATGGACAAAAATACACAATAAAACACAACTGATGCCAATATTGAAACTCAAATCTCCGTTGTGTCTCCCCTGACGCTTCTCAGTTCTTACACATATGTCCAAACGCCCAATTCTTCCCACAATAATAGCAGAAGTCACCTCCACACCTACAAAGCCATAATCAAAGCTCATGTGTTATTATATTATATTAAAACCACTTCCATATCAAAATTATATATTCACTCATATAAGAAGTTGCATGCATTACAACCTGCAAGCAATGTGTTCACATCCGCCATCTCTCTGCACAAACATATTGCAATAGGGACATTTTCGCCAATTTTCATCCTTGGCCAACTTAAAGAACTTTTTATCCAGATCTTGATCAACATAACTCCTTTTCTTCATCCTTTGGAATTCCTCACAGCTGGTCACCCTTGCATGCCAAGGAACCCTACACTGCGCACAAAACAGCCTATGACAAGAGGGGCACTCACAGCGGGTCACAACTTCTCCCCTGTCTTTGACCAACAAAACTGAACAGTCCTTAAAGGGGCAGTAAGTCTTATGAGATGCCGAAACCGTTGACTCGCATATAGCTGTGTCCCACTTTTCAATCACTTTCCGCGGCAAAATAGGGTGCAAAGATTGAGGGTTCTGTTCGAAGTAACAATTAGGGTGTGGACAGGTGACTTTCACGATGTTTTGGTTTATTTGGGATGTCACGTACTTTGCCATGCATGCAGAACAGAAGGCGTGGTCACACTTGTCATTTTTAAACATATCAGAGAGTGGCTTGTAGTCAAAACAAATACCGCAGAGGAAGTTTGAGTGGCTGCCACCAATGTTCTGTGACTTAATGTTAACATCAGCAGACGCACCATGAAGGGGTGATTGTTTCTTCATCTGATTTTGAGCTCCTGAGTTTGGAGCCTTTGCATCTAATTGAGTTTCCAAAAGAGTTTAAATATAACTTTTGTATTAGCATGTTTTGTCTCAAAAGTACTCAGAAAATAAGCCCCTCCATCCCGCTAGGATTGTCCCATTTTTTCATTTTAAGACGTCTCATTAAGATTGTCTCATACGGTCATACCAAATTACGGAGAGTTTGATAATGTTTAATTTGTGTGGTTCTAAATCGTTCTTACTTTATCCTTACTTCATTACTTCAATACCAACCACATAAACTTAGTTTTCTTAATAACCGCACCAGCTCTTCATGTACCAAATTTAGGGTGGCGGAGGTAGTAATAAGGACTTGAGTCTAAAAATGAAAATAGAACATACTAAAGAAATTCAAGCAGAAAAGAAGAATGAGGCAAAAAAAATTGAGTTTAGGTAGTTACCGATAGAAGCTATTGGTTGAGTTCTCCTCTTGACAGTAGAAGGTTGACCGACTTCATACTTGTGCTTCACGGAATTTGTTGACTCACATAGAGCTGTCCCCAATTCAATCACTTTCTTGACAAAAATGAGGAACACAGATATGGGGGTTTGTTCCAAGGAACAATTAGGGTGTGGACAGGTGACCTTCACAAAGTTTTGATTTATTTGGGAGGTCACGTGCTTTGCCATGCATGCAAAACAGAAGGCGTGGTTACACTTGTCATTTTTAAACATATCATAGAGTGGTTTGTAGTTGAAGCAAATACCGCAGAGGAAGTTTGAGTGTTGATTGTCACGTCTGCCACCACTATTCTGTGACTTAATGTTAACATCAGTAGAAGCGCTATGAAGGGGCGATGGTTTCTTCATCTGATTTTGAGCTCCTCTTGAGCGTGGAGCCTTTGAATCTAATTGAGTTTCCAAAAGAGTCAAAAATGTACGTAGTATAACTTTTGTGTTAACATGTTTTGTCTCACAAATACCGTCTCCATCTATTTTATATGTCTTGTTTTGATTTGACATAACTATTAATAGAGTTTTTTAAAACGTAAAAGTTGGACTTGGGATTGAAGTTTGAGTATAATAAAGTGAAATGTTGTAGACTATGATATATATTTCTTTTCAAAAAAGGAAATAGGACACTTATTTTGACTAAGATTATCTCTTTTTTCGTACCGTCCTATTAAGATGGTCTCATACGAGTATCACATTTGGTATGGTTCTTACTCTATTCTTTTTTTATCACTTCAATAGCAATCACAATATCATATAAAATTACTCTTCTTAATAACTGCACCACCTCTTCATGTACCAAACTTAGGGGAGGTAGTAATAAAGACCCGAGTCTAATTATGAAAACAGGTCATTCTATAAAAAAAATTGTCTTGTGCAGTTGTGCGTTTTATTTTGCTTAGGACAAGTGCCCCTCTTGACCTCCCCTAGGGCCGCCATCAGCCTCCCTCTATCATTTTAACAACATCATAACTAGTGGGTCAAGATTCCTTCAGGCAGACAAGGAGAATGAAGCAAAAGAAAAGTTAAGTTTAGGCACTGTTCTAAAAATCGCTCTAGGGGCCCTTTAGTTTAGGCGCTCTAACAAATTGATTTGGCGATTAATCGAATTAGTCGGCCGCCTAGGGCGCCTAATTGCCCGCCCAAAGCACTTAATTGGCTGCCTAGGCATCTAAATTTGTCGAACATTTTATATTGTTTTTGTATTTTAGTATTCTAAGAGATATATGTACCTTTAACTTTAATAACTCATATGAAGAAAGCTACTAGTCGTAGATTAAGATAAAAACTATACATGTTTAAGATAAAAACTTTAATAACTTTAATACGTAGTACGAAGTAATATTTAATTATTATATAATGAAGTTAAGTGAGTAGGTATAATATATTATTAAATGTAACAACTCTATCATTCATGCATGCTGATGTGTATGTGTGTGTGTGTGTATTTTCTTATACACACACAAACACAACATTATTAATCAAATCTATGCAAAAATATTGATAAAACTATAATTTCTATGTTTCCACCTAGACGTCCGCCTAGACGTTGGGTTGGTGCCCGACTAGCGCCTAGCGCCTTTTATATCATTGAGTTTAGGTAGTTACCGATAGAAGTGACCGGTTCAGCTTTCCTCTTGACAGTAGAGGGTTGAGCAACTTCATACTTGCGTTTCAAGGACATGGATCTAGTAGTAGGTCTGACTGCCTGCATATATAAAGTTCATAAGTTGATATAAGGTTGGTGTTTACAAGTCTATAAGATTGTTGTTTATAAGTTTACGCGTTTGAACTGTCAAAATGTGTTGCTAGGTTTCCCAAGGTGATAATTATTTGTTTCTAGTTTGAGTGTGTTTATAAAGGATAACAGTTCAAATAATTTGGGAAAATTCACAAAATAGAATTAAAAACGTTTTAGAATTCCAAAATAGGATAGTCATTTTTTATTCCTTAAATATGAGTAATTATTTTCAAATTTGGTAAATACTGCCATATTTATAGTCTACTACTGCCAAAACATGGCAGTAAATTCTCTTATTTAAGGAATAAAAACATGTCAGTCCTGTTTTGGAATATACAAACGTTTTTCTCTCCTATTTAGGGCAATTTCTGAAATAAATCATATCCCTTTGATAGTTGTGATTTGTGAATAGGCAGAGGAGATATATTTTACTTACTGGTTAAATAGCACGCTAAACGTAATGTGAAACGTGAGAAATATGATTTCTTAAAAACAAGAAATGTAGGGGAATAAGTGAATATTAAAAACAAAGGATATATGTATAAATACTTTTTCATATATGTACATATGTTTTTCATTTAGATATATACACACATGTTTTTCATTTATATATAAATATTTTTACTGTGTTTTTCATCTATATATATGCACATAATTTTTAAATTCAAATTTTTGATAATCCAATCATCAATACAATAAATATAAGTTGAAACTTAGACTCCATACTTCATAAGTTATTACATTAGAACATAATTAAATAAAAAATGCACATACTACATATGAAAAAAGCATTACGTTGTGAGATATTGCAATGTTACTAAGAAGTTCCATGAAAATGAAAATTCATTAAAGATTTTTAAAAGGGCACTATTTTCCATCAAGGAATCCCATAAAAAAGAAAAATATGAAAAACAAAGCTCCTGAAGCATTAATTTATTTAGGAAATTTGAAGTTTCCAGAATTTTGGGTATGATTCTAAGTTGGGGAAGTTTCCTATAGCTTGCAGGCACCATCCTCAAACAAATTAAACCGAAAGCTCTGCATCTATTCACCCGACAAAACTCTTATTATGGACTCAAACTTGCGAGCCTAATCCGATTTGGGAGTTTGATTTTAGAAAATTGGGAGTTTGAATCTCCACCATGTATAGTTGTTTAGTTGAATCCCAAATAAGCCAGTTCTTCATTTTAAAAAAAAAATCCATGGCGACCTAACCTTCCGGATCATACAATAAATTAATAAATTTTCACAAAACTAAAAATCAATAAATTTAATTTCATAATTTAGTCCCAATAATGTTTAAACATTAACGAATTAAAAAATAATTGGATACACAAAATTGATCACTAAGAAAATGAAACATCGTAGGAGCATGTACAACTTACCGGCAGACTTGCTGTGATAGAGGATTCCGGCGGTGCGCGGTGGAGTTGAGATCGTGTTCGCGGTGGAGACTGTCTGCTCATCTCAGTTGTGTCTTAATAACTATGGAGCTGAGATCGTGTCCACGTTGATGCTGTTGCGTACTCTGGAGTTGGTGCATCAGTCATAATCGGCTTAATAGTTGCGGCTTCAGAAATTCTTTAACTCTTAAAAATATTATCCTCCTTTCATACTCCTTTATTAGTTTTTTTCTAGATAAAGAAATCTATTACTAAGATTGGGTTTTGTAACATTTATTTTGAGTTGATTAGTTTTATGAGTAAACTTTTTATCAAGCACATAATTTTTAACTTTGACAACTTCAACAACATATTTCGACTTGTTATGAATTGATGACTGGGATTTTTTCTTCCCTAGGGCTTACCACAGTTGGGGTCTCGTTTCTTCCCTAGGGCTTACCGCCGCTGGGGTCTCGTTTCTTCCCTAGGGTTTATCGCCGCCGGGGTTCGTTTCCCATTTTCATTTATTAACGAAGAACGGTGCTTAGGTTGTGGTGAAGGCGAACAACAGCAGTGGTCTGTGCTTCGTCGGAAGGGCTCGGCCGCGGCTTGGGTTTGGCCAAAAAGGAAGACACAGGGGACGAACGAAGGGAGGGGATCTCCATGTCAGGAGAAATCGACGCCGTGATTACGGACCGAAAGATCGGCCTTCCGGGGTTCCAAGATCTCATGGCATCTGTTTGGCGCCCGGGGAAATCGCTTTGGTGCAACAACAATGATGAAGAAGGGGCGGTCGAGTCGGAGGAAAATCACTTCGGTGCAGCAACAATCGTTGCGAGGGTCCGGCCTCCCCCAGAACCACCGCCAAGGGTTAATCGACGCATTTTGGAGTTTGCTTACTTATCTTTTCTGCATTTTAATTTCCAAGTTAAGACGTTTGTGTTTTGTTGTTATTTTCTTTTATACTGCAAGACTCTTGCATTAGGTTTGGGGGATGAGAGGTCTACGGTAATCGTCAATGGTTGTTTGTTGCCCAATTTAGGTCTAGCGAGTTATATTGCTTTGTCAAGGGTGATTAACTCAGAGTCTCGGCCAAGGGCGGATGGTTACATGTGGTCCTTTTGTTATCATGTACCCCTGTTGAATGCTATTTTATTAATTTGAAGCCACTTTAACGATAAAGAAAAACTTCGACACTTCGTGACTCACATTGTATAATAATAAAATTAAATAAGATTGTAGTTACTTTTCTAATTGAATTGGTGGAAGTTACTTTTGTTAAATTTTTTATTAAAATTTAAGTAGTATTTTAAATATATTTTCCCATAGTTCAAGAGAATCGGTAAGTAGAGTATTTTAGTCAATTTCAGTGATAGGGTATATAGACTCGGATCACGCGGTCTCACAACTATTGGGCCTGGACAACGGCTCACACACGTTTTACGGATATCATTTGTATTATTGTACGGTTTACATATCATTTGTACTTACTATATTAGCCTTTTTTGTAGTTGGGCCTATCGAGCCCATACCGGCTGCCCGGCCTACTCTCTCTATGTATACTCTCTATTGAGACATTGTAACCCCAATTCCTAATTCAAAATTCATACTCTTTTCTTCTATTCATCTTCTTCTCCACTTTTGAGCTCTAATCTCTCCTAAATGATACATGTTTGGATACTCCATAATCTATCATTTAGTTTTACCGAAAAGACTTTGAATTCGGTAAATAATTATTATGCATAGAAAATGTACAAAAATCACCATATTCCATACTCTCTCTATATTTAAAAGTTTGCTTCACTTTCCTATTTGGATGTATTTACAAGTTTGCTACATTTTCTCTTTTTGGTAAGTTTTTTCTGTACAAATACTCAATTACCCTTATTTTTTACTTTATATCTTCTCTTTTCTACATTTTCACCTTCTCTTCTTCTTTTTCTATACCATTCATTATCCTTACTATTTCTTCCTTAAACATTTTCTGAAGATTTAATGTAGTGATCTTTTAAATAGGGAGGGAGTATTCCATACACTCTCTTTAATCTCTCCTATTATATGCTAGGAGTAAACTAGTTCTTGACCCGTGCGTTGCACGGGTATTTAATATTTTGTAATTTTGAGTTCTAATTTAGGTGCATGTATTATAAATTAATTGATATATGAGATATTTTTTGTTCAACTTTGAGAGTGTATGTAATGTCGAAAGATGGATCATAAACGTTATAATAAAACATGAATTTTAATATTTTATTCACTTGTATGGAATACGACAAAGCGTTTACAAATTTTTGAACACTTCTTTGTACACTACATTAAGTGTAGAATTGCTAGGCTCACCCATATCATCACATATCATGAATTTTAATCCTGATGTATTTGTAACCCTAGATAGCGTCACATACAACTGACCATGAGTAAAGACCAGGTGACATCAGAAGATGTCTACTCTTTCAAGTGGCTGACCTTGACTCTTGTTGATCGTCATTGCGTAACTAACCACCAATAATAATTGCCTACGTTGAAACATGAATGACAATCTAACATCGGATGGTGTAAGTGTTAGCCTTGGAATATAGACCTTCTTACCAGCATTTGTCCCGGTCAATATTTGAGCCTCAATAATATTATCTCCAAGCCGGGTCACAGTAAGCTGAGTACCATTGCATAACCCCGAAGACAAATCAATATTCCTCATGAGCATGACAGGTACACCTACCTTCAACCTGATTTCATGGGCCAGAACTCTAGAACATTGTATTCCATTAAGGAACTCGGGTGAATGGATCTCGTCAAGCAAATTGTTTTCAGAATAAAAAAAAAGGATGTCGAATCACTGCTTAGATAAATCTTCTCTTCAGAAGTATTCAAACTCAACATGTAATTATTTATCATATCTACATCCTCTATTGTTGGTGCAAGAATGGCTCTAGAAGTCAATTAAGAAGGATTGGTTCCATTTTCCAAGAAATCGGGATGTACACCTCACAATATATTCTATAGGATTAGATATGAAAGGAGCTAGAAAACTCTGAGGTATTTCAATCATTGATTCCCCGTTTTCATCGTCGCCTACAACACCATCTCCAATTTGCAAAATCCAATCTGCAAAACTCTTCAAAACAACAGAACTTTTGTCACATGTAAGCCTCATGTTCGTTGTAAGTTTCAGTTCCTTACAAAATTGCCACAAGTAGGAAGAGTTCAAAGCTGCATGTACAATATCTTGTAGACTACCTTTTGGAATAACTGGTAATATTTGTCTAAAATCACCGCCAAATACAAATTGTTTTCCCACGAAAAGGTTTAGTAGCATCACATGTGACAATGAATCAAAGGATGTCCCTCATAGTGCGATCAAGAGCTTCAAAACAATACTTATTTGTCATTGGATCCTCATCCCAAATAATTAAGCCTGTCATTTGAATTAACTTGGCCAATGCACTACCATGCTTGATGTTGCATGTTGAGTCTTCTGCCGCTGTCACTGAAATAGCACATCTAGAGTGTGTTGTACGTTCACTGATGTGAGTTTTCTCGCACTAAAAATAAGTAGTAGAATATTGGTGTAAGTATGAGTATCGTCTCCACAGGGACGGAAAAAGGGAATTAAGTATTAATTAAATTCAGCGATAAAAAGAAATAAAATAAATGCAATTGTGCGAGATTGATTGGTTTGAAAAAATAAAATGCAAAAAACGATTAAAATAAAGGGTTCTTTCTAATTAATGAGGGAAAGGAACATGGATTGATTTTTGGGGTAATCAGATTTCTGGCTGATCAGGCTTAATCAAATGAAAATTATTTAATTGAGCAACGCTAATCAATACTAAGTTTTAACCGCTCTCGCGGCGTAGAGTACAATAATTTAGGGAACCAGGCTGATCTCTCATGTGACAGGTATCTAAAATATTGCCAAAACGAGCGAGCGTACGCCTTCCTAACCGTTACTAATCTCTTAGCGAACGATTAAGTGTGTGTGAAGGTGTCCTAGAATAAATTAGATCTCTCTTAATTTATTCTATGTGCAATTATAATCCTAGCGGCCGTTCCAAGTTACAAGAGATATCAATTAAATCATTCAAACACAAATTAAATAAAGATTTATGCAATTAATATAATCCATCAAGAAACTATCCATACATCATGATCAACCCCTTCATCAATCCCTAATTAAAACTACTCACAACTCATAATGGAATCAACAATAGAATTGGGATGAAAAGAATTAATTGTCATTAACTAAAAAGTTGGAACTTACAAATAATCCCAAGGAATTGAAGAACAATGCGGAAAAAAAAGTGTAGAAATGTCCCTAGGCCTCTCTCTCTAAGCTCCATCCCCCTCAAACGGGGAAATAGAGGCCTTATTTAAAGAAAATGGATGAATTCAGCTCAAATTAGGAAATTCAGGGGCAGTCACGGCGCTAGGCACAATGTGCCTGGCATCCATGCCTGCGGAGTAAAACGCGCGTCCCGGGTTCAGGCACGCACGGTTTGCCTGACCGGCAGTAAGGTCTTCGTTGTTTCCTTGAGCAGGCACAACGTGCCCGACTTCGGGCGCACGGCGTGTGCCCTTCTCTTCCGAATTTGACAATTCTTCCTTCATGAAAGTTGTAGATAATGAAGTCCTCTATTCACCACAAATTGCAAAACCGGATTTGAATCACCTCACCAAAAGATATCAATACAAGGGTGGAAGGTCGCATACTGAAATCTCAACAGAGATTATCTGACTTCATCCTCTATTTTCAACTTTCTACTCTCAGATTCTTGTACTGGTGTCTTCATATGATTTGTATCCCTTGAAGTTATCTTTCATATAGAACTTGAAACATGTTCGTTGGATGTTTCTACAAAAAGATATGCTTGAACGATTGACAGAACGTCATCCTGACCGCCGTTTACAAGCTCTATTCGTCTTCTTTTGATCCCATAACCAATTCTAGAGCTATTTTGTCTTCAAAAACTCGTCTTTAACACCTCATTGACCTCCAATGCTCTTAATCAATTCTCAAATGTTTCTTGACTCGTTCCGATTACTTCTCAAATGCCAATGTTGGGCTTAATTCCCTGATTTTGACTCCAAAAATAGAAAACATGAACCAACACCCGTTAAAATATGACTTGAGTTAAAAATGAGACTTATGACACCATTAAGCTAGGAAAACCATCAAAAGTCGATCTCAACCCACATCAAATGCATGTCGAACTACGGACTTATCATCCACCTGGAAGGAGAAATGATGCAAAGGCAT